GTGAGAACAAAATTGAACTTTGTGTCCACTAATGTTTGGCAAACACTTAATACTGCACATCATTACAAAGACACCATCGACACCGTGAAGCACAGTGGTGGCAGCATCATGAAGTGAAGCACGGTGGTGGCAGCATCATGATATGAAGCACGGTGGTGGCAGCATCATGATGTGAAGCACGGTGGTGGCAGCATCATGAAGAGAAGCATGGTGGAGGCAGCATCATGACGTGAAGCACGGTGGTGGCAGCATCATGATGTGAAGCACGGTGGTGGCAGCATCATGACATGAAGCATGGTGGTGGCAGCATCATGTTCTCTGGATGGCCTCTACAGGTGGAGGGTAAATGCATATTTTAGGACAGCTACTGTAGCTAAAACTGTGATTGTGATTTTCTGAAACATTAACCAGTGACAACGACAAACTGGAAGGCCTTTGCTCCATAACCAGCCTTTAAATCCTTAACTTACACTCCTGTTGGCCACTCGTGGACAGCACAACAAGCTGTAAACACAACACTGACATGGAAGCATGTCATAAAATTCACAAACATCAACCTATTTCTGTCAGAAATGGAGCAAAATGAGCTTGGCTTCAGTCCACCTTTGAGCTCAAACTCCTGTGAGAAACATATATGCTCTTATTGTTCGCTCTTTGTTCCACAGCAAAGAACATTTACGTGGGATTATCTAAATATTATTTTAAATCTTACGTGGGCCTCAAGCTAACCTTCCTTCTCTTTTTACCCTGAAGCATAACTTCTTGTGTCAGTCTAGCTGCAGTGTGAGAACCTTTGACGGCATGTACCTTGAAAAATGTTGGTATTTTACAAAAGGTTACTGGATTATATAATTTTCAGATTAGTTTTTTTGCCTTCAGGGATGTTTAAAGGCCACTTTGTTCTTGAAGGTGAACATTCTTTTCTATATTTTTCACTTACTTTATTCAAAGTGAAAAAAAAAAGAGAGAGCGAGAAAGAGAAGACGCACAATAAAAGCCTTTGATTAAAGGGCAGGACCTGCGCGTCCATCCATAACTACAGCGTAACACCTCTAATTGACCTCTAATTGAACCAATTCACAGGGTAATTACACACGATGCACTGATGTTCCCGGTAAATACCTACAGTTATAAGCACGAACATGTTTCATGGGAACTGCAGACTGTTCAGTTTCAAATGAGGCCGTTTCTTTGGAAAATACAATAATCCGGTCTTCATAGTTCAGAAGACCACTACGGCTGCCAAGATCAATGTTTACCTGAATCTCTGAGGGTAATGTCAAAACACTGTCACACATGTGCATCTGACACCACAGGGTAACAGAATCTTGCTTTGGAGCAGATAAAAAATAATCTGAATTAAAGCATGCTGACGGTTTTAATCAAAGCATTACTTGGCAATAAATCACATTTTTCCGTATTGGAGCTGCACAAGCTCCTAAACTAGTCCTGTTTGCAATCACAGTTTACATTTTGGCTAGAACGCAAACTGCAGTTTTGTCTCATGTGATAGAAATAGGTTGATGTTTGC